GGATTGCTATACCGGTACTCGATATATCGATCGAACGAATCGCCACTCCACCCTCGAGTCCTATCCGCAGCCATCACCGAAAACGAGATCAAACAAGCAACAACCTCGAAAGCCCTCAACCCTAACGCCGCCTTCTTCACGGCCGCATTCCTCCCGGATCTCCTCAAGATGGAAGCAACCGCCGCCCTCGACCTCCTCTCCCCGCCCACCTCATCCTCCCTCCGCCCACCCGCACCATACCCCTCCTCCAGACCGCCGCCGGCGACGGCAGACGGTCCCATCTTCTTCACCTCATACGGCGGGTCCTCCCTCACGAGCTTATTCGCTCCGACCACCGCCGCAGGCTGCCGGTGCTGCGATCTCCTGCCGTCCGAATCGGGATTTTCCGGGGCGAGCTTCTCCGAAGGAGACCACGGACGGCGGAAATTGCCCGCCGCGAAGGGGGAATTCGCCGCGGTGGGGTTGGACTTATCCGGCGACGGCACGGGGGAGTGGTACTTGTAATTATCGACCAAGACGATCGACCTGCAGTTGTTCACGCCGGAATCGTCGTTTTCCGGCGGGAAGGGAGGCTCGTCGGAGCGTAGCGGCGAGTGAAAGGAGTCGACTTGACTGGTGGTTGACTCGGTGTCCGACATCGACAGGTGGGATTTGCTGTGCCTTCCATTTCTTGTACTGTGATTTTTGCTGGGTTCAGATGGGCTTTCCATTTGTGTGGAAAATTTTTTTGGGGGAGGTAATGGAATTAATTGGATGGTCGGTTTTTGAAATTGTTATTTATTTCTTTTTAAGGTTTTATAAACTTTATGCGATGGTTTTCGTTGTGTGTGGAAAGGTACATGGTAAGGTTTTGTGGCAATGTGGGGGTATCGTACACATGGCATGTGATGGTTGGTTGTGTGGAATCGTGTGGTAACTGCCGCAGCGTAGATAACCGAACAAATTTAATTTCAATTTATGATTTTAATTAACTTCATAATTTTAAATAATTATGTGAACTAAAATTTTATTCTTTTGTAATTTATAATTTACATATTAAGAATAAAAATATTAAATATATTTAATACAATTATCTTAGTGCAAAATATTAATTCATATAAAATTATATTTTAGAAGTTTGAAAAATTAAAATTTGAATTCTGAAAATATAAACTCTATATATTATTTTTATTTTGATAATCTAAATATTTATTAAAATTAGGAAATAACTATTTAGAAAAAGTTATTTTGATTTTTATTAAGCTTAATTTTTGAATTTTCTTATTTTTTTATCTTATTTCATGCTTACAAAAATCATAAATGATGTTTTGTATTTTTTTTTATAAAAATTTATTATTTTCAATAATCGTCAATATTCCAATCATCATAGTTTTCACGTTATTATTGTTCTATACGTGAAAATTTGTTCGTTACGTGAAAATGATGACAGCGCACAATGTCCTTGTTGGTATGGCTCATATATTGACAAAGGAAGGAGGTAGGCTGATGCCTGCGAGTGGAGCGAGCGTAGCGAGGGAGCGGAGCGTCCGAGTGGAGCGAGAGAAGCGAAGCGACCATGGACGTAGGCACATTGCCGAACCACGTAAATCTTGTGTTATTTACTTTTTCGTCTTTAATTCGTATTATCGTCGTTTCACAACAGTCCTCGTAATTGTGTTTACCACGCATGGAGAAATATTAATATAATTAAATATAAGCTTTTCTTGAAGAAAAAATATCTTACTAGAAAATTGTCAATGAATATAAGGTAAAAAATATAATAAATAAAGTTGATATGATATAAAAATAATAAAATATTAATTGATATTGATTGCTAGTTAGAAATATGAGAGTGGATAAATTTTTTAAAACAATATATATAATAATTAATCTTTTTCATTTTATAATTGTGTTAATGGAATTTGTAAATAAAAACATAAAGTGAGATCAGATGAATATTAATTTCTGTAACATTTTTTTATTGATTCAATGTAAAGTATACTTCAGATTTTTATACCTATTATACTAATTCTAGTGTAAGTCACTCGCTACAAACTCACTCAAATGTATACTTGAGATCTTAGTATAGGATGGTTTTATTTTAATTTCACACTTTTAAGGCCAAAATGTATATACATTGGAATATTGGATCAATCCAATCTAAAAGTGAAGAAAGAGTTGAAAATAGCCAAGTGGAGGAAAGAATAATAGTGAAAAGTTATGGAATTGCTTTTATATAGGTTTCGCTCTTTGTGGATGTTATGCAAAAATTCCTTACACCTTTTTTGCTCTTTATTCTTTGTTGACATATCTTTCAATCTTCAACTTATTCATCTTTATCGTAATTCATTTAGATTGCTTAATTTGTATGATAGATATTAATATGAAATAGTTCGAAATGTATAGTGTGTGAATCGTGTAAATAAAATGTCTATTATGAAATTAATTTCACCTTAAGAAAGCTTTATTATAAGGATGATTTCATTGTGTAAATCGTGTTGATTATTAGGTAATTACGTATAAAAAGAAAAATAAAAAAGTAAATTAGGAGATAAGGCTAAGTCCAAAAAATCCAAAAGTTGGAGAAGCTGAAAGATTTTTTTTTTTTTTTCCTATTAAAGGGTTCAGATAATTTCATATATTTTGAGTGATAATTTATCAATTTTTAATTAAAAATAAGGAGAACACTATCACTACAGGGGAAGTAGAGAATATCTATTAATTAATTGAGAGATAAATTAGTGAACCTTATCTCGGGCCACTGGTGTTTTTTAATGATTTGTATTTGCTACTCTCTTATTCATTGAAATGTTCATTCTTTCATGTGGGAATTTTGTAGATTTTGTTTTACTTTATATTGTAACGCGCAATTCTTTTCTGTTCAACTATTTACCTTTTTCGATTCACCTGATTTAACTGTTTTCTAACTAGTTTGTAATCATATCTATATATATATAATTACTAGCTCAAAATATTTAATAAAACCTAATTAATTTTACCTATGTGGCAATTTAATAATTTTCCCTCCAAAAATCATTACATTTTAATGTATTTAATCTTTCATTTAATTATTAAATAATTAATACTCATCACTTCAAAATTGCAAAAATCATTTTAAACTTTTTATTAATGACAGTTGACCATATAATGTGTTGACCGTATAATGTGATTAGATGTTATTATTGTTGTTACATTTGATTTTTTTCTTAAAAATAAAAAATATATTTGAAATTCCTAAATAAATAATAAATAATTCACAAATAAAAGACGTACCAAAATATACATTACATCTAATCAGATAAACGCAATTTTAAAAAAAAATATTCCAACTCTTTTAATTGTAAATTTGGTCTGCAAAAAGTGAAAGAAAAATAATTAATCATTATATGCATACAAACTCACAATAATTTATTTATATCTGTGCAAATGCACAGGTCGAATACTAGTTATTTATTTGAGTTCAAACAAAACCGTCCACAAATGCATATTTGAATCTACGCCGAAAATTAGACAGCAAATGAAAATGAAGTATTTATGTGACTTCTCCCAACAAACAATACTTCATATTTTCCTCAAGTGGAAAACAAAAATGTACTTACAGTTTTGTCCTTATATTTATAGTAACACTGTCATATAGTACTATTCATAAAATTTAAGACAAATCACAACTTTATTTTTCTTTCATTTATTGTTTCTTCATTTGAAACAATTCGAAAGTGAATTTGGTCTCCACACGGCAGTTTCCCTCGACTATGATGTTAAGCGAATCTAGTTAAAGTGTTGTCTAATAATCGATAAGCTAACTGATAGTTAAGTAAATTTTGATAAATTTAATTAAAATTAAAGTTAACTAATAGTTGATAAGTTAATTGATAGCTAATAATATTTGGCGCTTATAATTTACAGCTAATGATTGATGACTAAAAGACTAGCGCTAATATAATAAAAATATTTAATAAAGTGAACTGATAATAAGTCAATTGAATTAAAATAAATAAATAAATAGTCAACTTTATCTATACAAGCTTATGAAATAAATTCCAACTTATTGAAAAAACTTTATCCTATCGAACCAAATTTATTTAAATACAAAAAGCTTATGAAATTTATGAAACTCACTCTTCGTGATTAATTTGGCAGTTATGAAACTCACTCTTCGTGAATAATTTGGAAAAGTATTAAATATAATGCAATTTATTTCGTAATTTAGCGTTAACTGAAAAGTTTAGAGACTCATCGAGACGTAATAGAGTATGGTCTATAGATCCATATAAACAATTGTAGAATCAGTAAATAATTTTGAAATTAACAATCAATATGTATATATACCATTGTTTTTCAACCTGAATCGAACTAGCGGGTCGACCCGAAGAAAGAACCGGTTCAAGTGGGTATTTTAGACCCAGTGACAAGTCAAACCCCGACCACCCGGCCAACTCAAGTCTTTGATTTGGGTCGTGTGAGGTAAGGGTGAGCACGGTGCGGTTCGGTAAAAACCACCAAACAAAAAAAACTGAAACTAGCAAAAAAATAATTGAAACGCACTGCAAGATAGAAAAAAAAAAAACGAATCAAAATCCAACTGAAATTTCTTTACACTATAATAATTGAACCGACCACACGGAAATGTACAGTTCTGCTGAGTTTTTCAGTTTTATCTCGGTTTCTCTATACATTTGATTCATTTTGGTGCGGTTTGCACCGACACGAATAAAACTGAAAACCGATGTTATGAAAAACTATAACTACACAGCACCGCAATATAGAAAAAGCCAAATCAAAATAGAATCGATTTTTTTTTTACAATAAAATTCGGCTCATTTTTTCAGTTTGAACTTGATTTTGTTGAACGCTAGTGTGGGGTTTGTGATGGAACTTGAGGAGCAAAACCACACATGATTCATGCATGCCCTTGATTATCAGTCACACGTGCGCTACAAAAAGCGGCCAAGAGTGTGGGCGCATTCTTGTTTCCTAAGTTCACAAAGAAATTCATTTGATGGGTCGTGTGATGTTAGGGCCGCGGCCCACAATAATGTCATGTGTTGGAAGTTTCCAAATGCAATTCGTTAGCTAGCTCATGAGATATTTTGGGCCGCCAATATACTGAATCCAGTCAAAGTCATCTATACATATTTCTCTATCAATTGCACATTTTTAAACTCTACTTTTCTACGGTGAATGAATTTATGCAAGTCAACCTGGAAGGCACTTGGCAACTACTTTTCTGACTTGCCTTCCAAAACGGTCACAACAAAATTAAAGAAATAAACGAGGGAGAAAATGAGGAGCTTTTTAACTATATTAATCAGTGCTCGATTTTGTGCATGAATACATATGTAAATAAAATATTTTGTGTTATATGTATGTATATTATATTTTAATATAAGTTAGATAATGAGTATATCACATATTATAATTTTAATTATTAATAAACATGAACTATACAAATATAAACTATATAACTTACATATCAATCACTATCTTGATGGTATAAAATGTATCGATAATGTAATTTTTTTAATTTTGAAGGATCACAACTGTAGTAAAATTATTATTATTATTATTATTATTATTATTATTATTATTATTATTTAATTTTAAAGGGTTTGATGATGCCATTAAAATCAATTAGCTAATTAAAAAAAATTGCTTAATGAAATAAAAAAATATTAATTTTTAAAAAAATAGCTTGAAGAAAAAGTTTTGCAATAGATTTTCGATAAGTATGTAACTTCCATAGCAACTTTTTTTTATTTGCACAATGGAGATAACCCATTTTTATATATGTATATATTAGGCGGATTTTAAGTTACTAATTTGGTTTAAGAATTGAAGGAAACCAACCAATGATCCATATACAAAAAATGGGGACCTTTCTAATTATTTATTAGGCCGCTTTGTAGTTACTATATATTTAGGTTTAAAAAAATGAAGGAAACCAAACAATGAGAAACAGAAAATGAGGAGCTTATTAATTATATTAATTAGGCCGCTTTTCAGTTACTTATTAATTCCTATATAATGTCTGTTGTAGTCACACAACTATAAGATTATTTCAAAAGTAATATATATAATTTGAATGCAGTTGATCAATAGTAATTGTGTAGATTTTAAAATTGATCAAAAAATAATAATTTTCACAAGCTTCCATGTGTGATGTAGAAAATGACATGTCATGTCAATTGACATGTCACATCCACATGACTTTTATTTATAAATTTAAAAAATAGTCTCGTAACACTGAAATTTATTTAATAGTTTCGTAAGTTTTTATAAATTTGGGGAAAATGTTGGTCACAAATACAAATTTAAATGAAAACTAACACGGCATATCCATTTTTTTTTTTCATTAATTATGTGCATACAACAACAATTATTTATTTCGCATATAAAATATGTTTTCTAATCTATATATATGTAATACAAATTAACCTTTTTTAAAAATAGTAAGTCAATTATTTCACAAAATTCGGTCTGCATTAAATAGTTACCAGAAACAATAACTTTTTGTCCTTTTCACACATACTTTAATAACAAATTACTTATATTACATCACAACATTAATTAATTAATAAACAATTAGAGATAAGCGCCCATTCCGCTTCTGATTAGGAGAGCTGCATCGAGCCTTTAATTGGGTGGTTGTTTGATTCCAAAAAATGCGGCCTTACCCTGTTAATGTAGTCCGCGTCGGAATCTGCAAAAATAATTCGACAATAAAAAATTTCACTATTCAATTATAATATTGTAACTATACATAACCTAAATTGGATAAACGTAAGACAATTAAATAATCTAAATATAATATTATATTAGTATATTCAAATCTATATATATATATATATAAGAATTAACATTTACCAAAAATAGTAGCAAAAAAATAGGTCAAAATTTAATGCAGTCTATAGATAATAAGTTTTATTATTTTTTTATTTTTTTCTTTAAAAATCATACAACATTAAATGCTACCTTAAATTTCGGGCTTTAGTTCATTTTATTATTTAAAAAATCCAGCAAAGATTTATTAAGTGTGTAAGTTTTTATTTCTATTTTTTTCTTAGAAACAACGAGCAACATTAAAATCTCGGTTTTTATATTTATAAAATTTCAATTCAAAATATAACAAAAATTTTAGAACCTCGGTCTTTATATTTGTGCCTTTAAAAAAAATATTGAACGCTAAAAATACTCTTTAAATTTAATAATCAATCAATTAATCTTAATTTTTGGAAAATTACTATGTTTATTTTGTATTAATATGCATAAAGTAAAAATAATTTATTCATCTTTAGATATATAATTTACAATCTTAATATACTATCATTTGGTGTAGACATTTATTATATGAATCATAAAATATTTTTATTTCATAAAATTAAAATATGTAAAGAAATAAGAAAATTTCTTTGGATCAATCGGGTGATTGAATTAGGGTACTGCCCAGGTTGATTGAATTACTTTTAGGTGATATTTAAATAGTCAAAAAAACTTGACACAACTTGGTTGCTCCCAGGTGACTAAGTTATGTATTTGTTTGACCACACAAAATCGATTATTGAATCTAAATATAAATTTTATATTAAAAATATTTTATTACGTGAATGTGATGTAGTCCAAACTTCAAATAATCGTATTAACAATACTTTTATTACAACATGTTTAATGATTTATGAATATTTAGATATCATTTTATTAATATTTATGTGAATTAAATAATATTTTATTATAATATTTATCAATATACAGTAAATATAAGGTTTTCAGAACTGGACCGTCATCAAAACGATCAAATTATTTTATTAAATCACTTGTGGTTTGTTCATATTTTAATTTATAAATATTTTAATATATATATATATAGTACTTTTTGTAATAAATTTAAATAAAATGTGTTACTTAGATTTCTAAACAATTTATAAATTCAAATGTTTAAACTAATTGATAAATAATTTATAAATCTCTATTTTATTTAAATATGTAATTTTATTTAAAAAAAATTTAAATATAACAAAATTTATTTAGAAAATCGATCCTACCAGTCCAACCGACTGGTGTTGACGGATTCGAGAGCAAATATTTTATTCAAGCGAACTAGACTGGTTATAAACCGGTTCTCGGTCCATCCGGTCGGACTGTGTCCAACCCGGTTTAATTTAAAAATAATGGATAAATCATAATTAATGTTATTTATATATTTAATTTATAATACAATCGTAATATTGTTTTCTCGTGCATCGCACGGGCCTCGCACTAGTTCAATATAATGTGATCATCCTAGAATTCCACTAGAATATCTGGTGCGCGATCGAATTTATGATTTTTTTTTGTCTTATTTGATTCTATGTATTGAATTTTTAAATAAATTATATGAAATATAAAACATATACAAACCTCAATTATTTAAAATACAATGAAATGAACCTTCATCATCTAAATGATTTGTTAAATGTATGGTAAGTTGATTCCTGTAGCTATTAAACCGTCTCATTATTTACAAGCAGGAGAGAACATAAAATACATGTCTAGAAATACAATTATTCATCATAACATGTTTAACTTTGAACATTATTCATTACCTTTTCAAACTCGTGGAAAACGTGACGGGTTGCACACAAAACGGGTCACACCCGGCCCATTAACCCGTATGAGGCCCGTTTGTAATGAAGAACACGGGCGGAGGCATGAATCATGCTCAACAAAGAATTTCCGTACATTTTTCGTTGACCATAAAAAAGACTTGGACCTTTCACCCAAAAGCTGAATTAACGGAAGAAAAACCAATATCGAATTAAAATACGCGTAAAAGAAAATCGAGGGCGATTTCCTACGTCCGACAGTCAACTGTAGCTTTGGTGGGCCAATTTGGAGCCGAAAATTTTACCTATATACATTTAACAAAGAG